GATAAAAATGATGGGGACAATGTCATCCTCAGTTGCTTGGAGGAGTTTGATTCTATCCCTGCTGAGGTAACGGCTTCTTTTAAAAAAAATATCTTTATTAGGTTTTAACATCTTACATTAAAATACAAAGTAACTTAAAAAGGGAAACACTAGTTGTACTTCTTGTAGTGTTAGGGAAGAGACAATTGTATTTTTTTCTCTGTCTTACATTATTATTGAATATTTAGAAAGCCAAGCATAAGTCCCACTTTGTTAATGATTCTTTCATAGCCAATGAATGAGTTATGTTATCCTTGTGTCTTTAAACGTACAATTTGCTAATAAGATACCCAAGCACCCCATCCAGTGCTTAAATGAGGAGAGTTACAACATCTTCATTTTGCAAAGGAGTTGGGTATATGTTTATGCCATGGTTGTGGGCATCCCTTAAGTCTCACAATTAAGTCACATAGTTCATTAAAAGCTTCTTTAAAAAAAAAAAAAAAAAATTATTGGTTTTTAAAAACAAACATAAACAAACAAAACATAAAAACATCAAGCTATCTTCCATATGTGTACATACAGTGTGCCAGTTGGTTTACAAATTGTTTTGTGCTTCCATTTCATAGTCTTCAATTACAATTACATTGCATATAATCTCATATTTTCAATCAAAAATTAAATACCTTAGTATCATCATTAATCATTTGACTATACTTTTATTCATTCATGTTTTACAAGATAATCATAATTTACTTAGTTTATTTTATAACAGTTCATATTATCATCCCAAATCTATCCTAAAATCATTTTGTAGATATAATAAGAAAGAAGTACATCTTTATATATTTATTATTTTCTAAAAGTCTACATATTTCATTACTGTATTTTATTGTCTAACCATTGATAGAAAAGATCCCAAATTTTATAAAATTGTTTATCCTCTTGTTCTCTAATTTCAAATGTCAATCTACTCATTTCAGCACATTCCAATATTTTCTTAATTATTTCCTCCTGTGATGGTATTTTCTCATTTTTCCAGTTTTTAGCAAATACAATCCTAGCCGCTGTTAATACATTTACAATCAGGTATTTCAAATCTTTACTATATATTTCAGGTAAAATTCCCAATAAAAATATCTCTGGTTTCAAGTCTATATGTTTTTTTGTCATTTTTTCCAACCACATGTGGATTTTAGTCCAGTATTTTTTAGCATCCGCACAAGTCCACCACATATGGTAATATGAGCCGGGTGTCTGATGACATTTCCAACATTTTTCAGATTTATTCTTGAACATTCTTGTTATTCTTGTCGGGGGGAAATGCCACCTGTAAAACATCTTATACAAATTTTCTTTATATGCTGTTGACATTGTCATTTTATCATTTTGAGACCACAATTTTTGCCATTTCTCTAAATCGATCCCATATCCAAAATTCTTCCCCCAAGCAATCGTAGTTTCTTTAACTTGTTCTTCTTCTAATTTAATTTCTAATAAATATCCATATAGTTTTTTAATCACCTTTTCATCAGTACCTGTCAAAATCTTATCTAAATCAGTCAATTTATCATAGAAACCTTCCATTTTAGAATCTTTATCATACCTTGAATGTATTTGCGCATATGAAAACCAATTCATCGTTATAACTTGTTCCTCTAGTTTTTAAATATATTTGAGTTCACCCTTTTCATTCAATTTTCACCATATCTAACTGTTTGTTCCTTTTTGTATATTATAGGATAAGAAAATGCTTCAATAGTCGATAACCAGACTGGAATTTTCAAATAACATTGTCTTTTAATCTTCTCCCAGTTTAACCACAGAGACTCCCGTATATAATGTCTTCTAAAATACCCCTGTGTTTTAGTTCCTTTATACCATAAAAAAGCATGCCACCTCAACAACAAATCATGTCCTTCTAAGGTCAACAGTCTAGTATTTCTTAGTGTTATCCATTCCTTAACCCACATCAGATTTGTAGCTTGATAGTACAACTCCCAATTAGGCAAACCAAATCTTCCTCTAATTCTAGCATCTTGCAAAAGTTTTAACTTTATTCTCGCTTTCTTGCCTTGCCATATATATTTCAACACAATTTTATTTAAATCTTCAAAGTAATCTTTTCCAAGCCTAATTGGAATTGTTTGAAACAAATATAAAATTCTGGGTGATATATTCATCTTGATTGTTGAAATTCTCCCTATTATTGACAGTTGTAAATTTTCCCATTTCGCCAGATCTAGCGCTATCTGCTGTTTAAGTTTGATATAATTATTCTCTTTTAATGTACTACATCTTGCTGTCAAATATATCCCCAAGTACTTGATCTTATTCGTGACCTGAATTTTCAATAATTCTGCCAGTTCTTCCTTTTGTCTTAATAGCATATTCTTTGTCAAGATCTTTGTCTTATCTTTATTTATTTTCAAACCAGCCACCTTTCCATATGTCTCTAACTTTTCTATCAATTTTGATGCTTACTGTATCTTTTTTCAGTGGGCAGGACTTCATTTATAATTGCTTCCTTGATTCTCTGGTGAATTGAAAGCAATCTATAGGGGCAAGTATAAGCAACCATATCAGTGTAAGCAATGTTTAATGGTTCATCTCATGATCTTTCTACCATTTTTATTTTCTTGCTGGGATCTAGGAGTTGGATAATTTGATCCAGGATATGGACAGTGATGAAAACAAGGTGAGTAAAACAAAGAATGCTTTTTCCTGGATGTGAAGTAATTTTTGGAAATTCTTATTTATGTATATGGTGTATTTGCTCATTCGTTCTTGTAGATACAATCTTTTATCTACTCCTATTATTCTAAGACTATCATATTCAACAAGTGTGTGAATGTGGTTACTGATAATTCTGTAGTAACATTGAACATGATGTTCATAGTGATGCATTCTGCTTAAACATTAATAGAAAGCTACTTTGAAATGTGCTGTTCCATGCATTTCCAGAATATATAAAGGGAAGCAAATATGTATCTCTGCCCTATCTGAATTTCAGATCTTGATTCATTAAGTGGTAGCATACTTGTAAGGTAACATACTACCTTACAATTTAATGACAGTGAGCATGGATATTGATAAATCAAAGTGTGCAGTTTTTCTGACCTAGGCTTCCTTAGAAAGCATAAAACACAATCTTAATCCTGACAAAACCTCTTTTATTTCCACAGCTGTGAATTACGTTCATTCACAGCCAGCTAGGCTTCACATACAGTCTGTCGGGTATGTTTATAAACACCCACCTGATCATACTTGGAATGCGGCCAGAGAACTAATTGCCAGACATAGGGCAAGGCCAAACTTGACACAGAGTCAAACAGCAATTTTCAAAGCTTGAGCCGACCAAACAAAATAATCACGTCCCATTCACTCCTCTTTTATGTCCTATGGGAAGGGCCAATCATCTCTGAGGTGTGGCCTTACTCCTGAGTTGGCCCTGCTTTCTCAATTGTTCTTGTCTTCTGCTAGCTCTGTGCATGTGCAGGCTGGGAACCGGTTCCATAAGCTTCCCCGCATCTCTGCTGTCCAAACCCGAAGGCAGCTGCTGACTGCCAGCCTGCCATGGCCCCTGATACAGCGCCCTCCTCCGGATCTTCCTCAGCCTCCAGACCCGGCCCAGATTTCTCCCCAACCTCCTCACTCCTGTCCAACTCTGCTGCCAGCTCCGTCAGCTGCCAGCAGGTCACAACAGCAGTCACATGAAGACTTTCGTTATTCAGTCTGATATAATCTGAAATTGTACAATAGGAAAATCCAGAAGATCCATATCGCATTCTGAGTTGTTCAAGCAGTTTTTGAACATGCCGTTTCCCCCACCTTTACCAGCAGTGACAAGAATCTGACAAAGTTAAACCCAGGAAGCCCATCTAGAATTTGGGGCATAAATAACCTTATATGTATCATTTATGATAGACGAACGTTTTGTGCACTCTGGGCCATTTGTTGTTCCACACAATGATTCTCTCTTCTCTTGGTGAATAAACCCATTGTGTTTTCTAATTCAGTAAATTCCCATTGTAATGGACTATTATTCTCAGAAAAACTTACAACTACCTTTGCTTGTTATAGAAGAAACTATGGCATAGATATTACTTTTAAATTGTTTAATTTTTGTTCTTTTGTTGGGAAACATGACTATATAAGAAACAAGATTTTTAAAAAAAAATGTTCTAGGCAGAACTTATTTGTTTAGCACTGAGTTATTTTAACAAGCCTAGCCTGCAAGTCTTTTGTAATACATTCCAGTGCCTGGCCCACAAAGCAACTCTTATCATCATTCTACATGCATGCATTGTTTCAGACTTAAATAGTCTCTGCTGCTGTGCAGAAAACAAGCATCTTTTGGCAGTAAGAAAGTCTATGTGCAACAGGGCTTACTGATATTCACTTCCCGATGCAGTCTTCTTTATATCAAACCTCTTGGTCTCCTACAGACTCATCGTTTAGGTTAAAGTCTGTATCAGAAGCTATATTAGGAAGTGAAGGAAAACCGGTGCAACCCAAGGGCAATAAATACCCTTCTTATAGAATTTCAAATCACGTTATTTTTCTTTCTGTTTCAGATTCAGGCATACTTGAAATGCCATAAACTACGTTCTGCCTATCTTATCTCGGTAAAACAAGAAAACGTAAGAGCTGTGCAGTTGGTTCAACACATACGGCAAATGGCAGAGGACAGTGGGGATGATGTAGTGCAGGCCATCTGCACCCAGTGGCTTTCGGTACATCACACTAAGCCGAAAAGCTGGCTTATCCAAAATTCCAAGAAATGACTCCCAGAAATTTGTTAGGTCGTTGTTTCTAGAAAGGGATAATATTACATTGTACTAGATTCAATTATGGCTGCAAACTGGAAAGAAGCTTTATTGAATGCCTTTTCTTCAAAGGGAAAGGATCAACTTCCTCAAAGTGCCAGTCATGATGCAGTGACAACCAACTACCTCGACTTCAGGGTGTTTATTCTTTACATACTTCGTATTTTCACTGCTGCTTCAGCTGTGTTTTACTTGATGATCATGGAGATAGCTCTCCTTTAGGCACTGTTTTTATGAATGCAAATCCCACATCAACAAGAGTTTATATCTGCTTGTGATCCCCGACACTGCAGAGCTACAGCCAAATCAATAAAGAACCAAGTCGCATTTTGAGATGGGTACAGTGCTCTATTGATTTTCATAGGAAGAAGCTGTAATTGAATTCTGTGCATAAGAGATAACAGGTCTGTAAGCCTACACCTGTTACTGTCTGAGGCCAGAAAATAACCAGTTAACACAGAAAATGGAGGAAGAAATGATGAAGGTTGAATAGTAGTTCCCACTTGGAACCTCTACCCATATTTGCCACCTTTCCTTGAAACAGTCTGAAGTTCTCATTGTCCTTTCAGTGACATGATATAGAAAACAATGAGACCACAGCATGCTCTATAGAAGAGAATATGGCTGTCATTGAGAACAAGTTTTTAACTTGAAAAATTCAAACTGTTATCAAAATGGCATTAGTTTTAAGAAATTATTCAGAATGGTTTAATGTGAGTTTTTTTTTAAAAAAATTATTAGATGAACATCATCCTTTCCCACTAATTTTAGCAAACGATCTAAGCTGCACTCTTCCAGGGAAACAGCCACAGCTCACAGCCACAAGAATAGTAATCCTTAGTTCACTGGATTTGGCAGCCGGAAATAACCTTGAGGTTAAGTAACTTGGGAGGGCTATATCTAGCTTCCATCTTTTCATACCTTTGGGGTCTCGGAAGTTATCCTACTAGGAATCTAAGAGTTATAAAATCTGCTTTTGCTGTCTTATCAAGCTCAACTGCCATGAGTCCCAGGAGATAGTCTGATTGGACTTTCTGTGACTCTCATTACTTCTTCTACCTTAAGAAAAGAACAGGATTCATTATTTGCTGTGTGCTAAGCTATGCTGCCTATTGAGTTTAGTACGCAACATGGCTTGTCCTTTCATCTCCAAACTCTTCTCATCAATACCTTCCAAAGGGAAGACACTTGTGTGGGAGAGAAAATTGAGACGAATGTTGGGTCCACTCTTTGCACTGCATTTTATGCACTTTATATTGTTACTTGGATTCTTTAGGATTTTTAAAGGATCCCCTTCTCACCAGCAAAACTGTCCTGTGAACTATCCTGTACTAAACTGTAACGGAGGAATTCTAAACTTCCAATGAACAAAAGTGTTAAACTCTCATTGAGAAAATAAAAGAATTTGGACAATTTACTGTTTAATCACTTAATATCGTTTCTTGTTAAATATGTAGCTGCAAAATAATTCAGCAAATGAAAGAAACTAAGACAACAAAACCATGCTATAAACATCTAAAAATTTCAAAAAAAAAAAAAGATAATTGATGTAATTTTGTAGCCTGGCATGTTTTCATGGCATACTGAATCACAAATGAGCCAGCAACCTTTTAGCCCAGCATGTTGTGCAAAACCACATCAAACAATTCATAATTCACACTGCCAGAAAACCCAGAAAAACTAAGGAGTTGTTATTATTTTTTGTAGGGGGAATCAGGAGACCTTCAGCATGGAGTAGATAGTTCCATACACTAAACAGTTGTTTGAGCTCTATTTTAATGGAAACGCTGAGATTAACGTTTTTATTAAAAAATGAACATAACCCGATCTGTGAACATTCCATGAAAGCAACACTTTTCCAGAGTCTTACATACAAAATACAGGATTTAGGTGTAGCTGGCCTTTGCAGGTCAATTCCACTCGACACCAAGGAGTTCACAACTAACACTCCAAAGCTTCTTTGCTGTTTCATCATTACGTCCTTGAGATGATACATTTGCTGGTTTACAATCACTGTTATGTAAAGGAAGAAAGCATATTAGCAATGCTGCATTGCATTAATTATTATAATTAATTATACTTTAATGTAATCATATTAACTAATTATATAATTATAATTAATATGTTCAGCCTTAGCAAAAAAAAAAAAAAAAGCAAACTAAAGCACACTAATTGTAAGAGAGGCAATTAAAACATACCTGAACAATGGACTCCTAATACAAGATACCAGCATTCTTTCCCTTTTGTAACAGGATTTGCGCTATATAAATATATCAGCAGCATGCTCAACTAGAAAAAGATTCATTCTGATCTTTTTATAAACTAGTGTATTCCAGAAGTTCTGCTGAACCCCTTTGGAGTGGCTGCAGTTCAGCCAAAATAAAGCCCAGAGGATCACAGGTGGTCCTCAGCTTACAAGTACAATCGAGCTGAAAATTTCCGTTGCTAAGCAAGGAATGAGTTGTTAAATGAGATTTGCCCCATTTTATGACCTTCCTTACTAAATTTGGTAAGTGAATCGCTGTAATCCTTTTAATATCATGGTTGTTAAGTGAATCTGGCTTCCCCATTAGCTTTTCTTGTCAGGTCTCAAAATGTGATCACATGACACCAGGATACTACTAACAAGCCAGTTGCCAAGCATCTGAATTTGGATCCCGTGGCCATGGGGGGTTGCAATGGTTGTAAGTGTGAAAAACAGCAAGAAGTCACTTTTTTTCAGTGCCATTATAACTTCGAATGGTCACTAAACCAGGGATCGCCAACCTTTTGGACTTCAGGGACCACCAAACTCATAATTTTAAATCCCAGGGACCACTAACTGGTTCTGTGGGTGTGGCCTAATTTGTGGGTGTGGCTTGGTGGTCATGTGACTGGCTGGGCATGGCTTGTATGTAAATATTATAAATATTTATATAAATATTGAATTTTTTATAAAAAAGAAACTTTTACCCAAAATCAGGCAAAGCAGGCAGGCAGAATGAGTTGCTCACAGAATCATTCAGTGATTTATCTATCTGCCATCGGCTAGCTCAGTCTGTCACATAAAATTTGCTTGCCGTGAATCTGCACTGAATAATAGAACCTTCAGTCGTAAGGGAAGTTGGGCTGTGCTTAAAAGCAGAGCCGAAGATCTAAAGACTAGCTAGAAAGCAAGAAATCCAACCATTTCCTGCTTCCTAGCTAATTAATCTGGCACAACAGAACACCTGATGGTCGGAAAAATAGCAATTTAGTAGGCAAGTTTGCCAGGTAAGGAGTGAGTGGGCAGAGAGGGTTCGCGCGGGCCATGTGGGCGGCACAGCCTTGTGTTTCTGCACAGCCTGGATTAATTGCTTTGAGGGGGTGCTCTGGGGGTGAGATTTCTCTGTGGCCCACCAAAATTTTCTCACGGCCCACCAGTGGGCCAGGACCCACTGGTTGGCAACCGCTGCACTAAACTAATGGTTATTACTTGAGGACTACAAATATTGAATTTTATAAGGCAAATTCAGCAAGACTTGAAAGCCAATTTGGTGTAGTGATTAAAAGTACCAGGTTGGAGCCTGGCAGGCCGTGAATTCTAGTTCTGCTTTAGGCCCAAGGTCAGCTGGCTGACTTTCATTCTCTTCAGCCCTAGGAAGAAGGCAATGGCAAACTACTTCTGAAAATCTTGCCAAGAAAAATGCAGGACTTCTCCAGGCAATTGCCAGGAGTTAAGACTGTGCCCCCTCTCCCTACACACCACACCAACAAGGCCCTCTCCCCACAGCATTCTTCTACAGTTCCCCTCATTTTTACTCTTAGCCACTCCCCACTGCCTTGGCTTTCACCTACTCTTCTACTTACCCAGAACAACCATATTTCATTCTGTATCCAGAGCAACCCTGTTTGCTCATGTTATGAACTTAAATACATGTTTCAGGAATGGACCACCTGTAAAATAACTGTTCTGTGGAAACCCAAAATGTACGCCCAGAATCTTTTGCACATTCCTTGTACAAAGCTGTCATCGGTAAGTTATAATGCATAAAAAAAAACAATTTAGACTACTTTTACACAACTATCCTGGCAGATTTTAGAAGCTACTTAACATACTACTAAGATTCTTCACTCATTCAGAACACATAGCTCAAAGAAACACATACTCAACTGGTGTGGCTGCTATGAGTGCATCACATAAATAACTATGGATCTTTATCCTTAGCACTAGCTAAGGGAGTCATTAAGGCTGATGTCACCATGAATCTTTATGCAGTAGAACTGGATTCAGATTTCTAATCCTTTAAAGCGGTAGCTTTTAACTCTTTTCATCTCATAGCACACATCTCAAAGGCAGGACTTTCAGGCTGCAGAACTGGAAATCCCTGACAACACAAGTTGCTGGGACTCAGAAGAAGAAACTGAGGCAATGTGTCTCCTGGCAATGTCATAGGGGTGGGATTTTGCTGTGCATCTGGGCAGCACTTTTCCTGTCATGTAGCTTGGCTCACATGCATACCTTTATGGCACAGTGGCTGAAAACTGCTTGAAAGAGACAACTAGTAGTATCAACTGGTGCTGTTAGGCGAGAATCAGCAGACGAGATTCATTCTTTCTGAATGACTTTTCCACTTATTAGAGGTACAAGAACTCTTAACCCATCAGAAACTCATTACTAAGGATTTGCTAAGTCCCATGTTTGCACTTAGCCTATGGGAGAGCCTCACTGATGCTTCAAAATAATACCAATAGCAAAAATAACTCCTGCTTGTATCCCGGTTTGAGGTGGCTATCCAAAGCTTCTTTCCCCATTCCAAGGCTTATACGGTGACGAGGTGGTTATAGCAAAACCCCCAAAAAAAAGGTTTTCCCCTAAGTTTGGACTCAAAGCTTTGTTCTCTCTCCCCACATCCCAATGCCAGTCATCCCGGATCAACCCACCTGAAATATTTTCCACTGACTGTCTCTAGCTCCTCTGCCACTGCACAATATATGCTGGTCTGAGCTCCTTGCCAAGGTGTCTTCAAGAAGATAGCAAATATGTTCCACAAAACTTTTAGTGTAAAGGAGTGGCGAACAAGTTCAGACAAAGCTGTGCCTGGATGCAGGGCATTCACGGTGACGCCGGAACCTGTAGGAGGCAAACCAGGCATGTATTCAAAAGTATACTGATAATGGGATCAGCCTGTACAAAAGCAAAGAGAACTTTGTTTGATTTACAAAACGGAAAGATGATGCCAGTGTAAACTTAAAAGTGTCAATGGAAGAGAATATATGTAGGTCAAGGTTAAACTGTTGAGTCCTTGGTGCCATACTTTTAATTGTATGTATGGGACTAGTATAATTTATACATGCTATAATATTATGGCCTCTGTTATGGGTCCTGAGAGTGGTGAGTCCCCTTTGATTTTGTTTGTATATTTGTCCATTAAATTGAAAGTAGATAATGAGGCAGAGGTTGATAAAGTCTTTAATTCTGGGTATTTCGATCTTAGTGTATTTGGCTAGAACAGAATGCTCCTCTCCAGCATCCAATACCCAGATAAGCAGAGATTAATACCAAGCAAACAATGAAGCAGAAAATAATGCAATAATTAAAGATTTACCAAGGAGAAAAATCACATTTCTACCCCAAACTGGAAGAGCTAACTACTATATATGAACAGGGAACAACCCCACATTCACTCACACTGGAGATGTTACTTTGGTGGTAGTGAAATGCTTGCAAGCATATAATCAAGTTCAGAAAACACCAAGGCCTCCACAAATTAAGAGTTTGTGTCCCATATGTCCACATAAAATGCATGCATGCTAAAACCAAGAATAAATAAGTCGTATTTATAGTCCATTCAATGGCAGTTGGACTAAAGGAGACCATGGTTTCCTTTGGGTGCAAACAATCATAATTATGGTAAAAGCCTAAATATCTCTCTAATTAGTTTATTTCTCATTACTTAGAAAAAAAGTCGCACAGCAATCAGTACAGGTAGTGCTTGACCTATGACCACAATGGAAGTCAACATTTCTACTGCTAAGCAAGACAGTTATTGTGCCCCATTTTACGACCTTTTTGCCAATTGTTAAGTGAATCATGGCAGTTGTGGGGTGAAGTGTGCAGTTGTTAAGTGAACCCGGATTCCTCCATTTGTTTTGCTTGTTGGAAGCCAGCTGGGAAGGTTACAAATGGTGATCACATGACCCTGGGACACTGCAACTGCATGTCAGTTGTCAAATGCCCGAATTCTAAACACGTGACCATGGGGATGCTGAAACATTTCTTAAATATGAAAACCAGTCATAAATCACTTTTCAGGTGCTGTTGTAACTTTGAACTGTCACTAAATGAATGATTGTTACTCAGGGACTACCTGTATGTATGCATAGAACAGAAACACCAGGGCAGGGGTGGAATACTACCAGTTCTGTCCAGTTCCGTACAGCCGGTAGCTCTGAAGAGCAGCAGATATCAAACTGGTTCTGTGTTTGCTGCTGTGTGGCCCACCTGCCCACCTGGGCTCTTACCTGTCCTTTAGTTCCTGCTTTTTCAACCTGAGATGCTTTGTGCAGCACAGCTGAAGTTGAAAAAGCAGGGAAAAATAGGCTTTTCAAACGCTGCGCACTTGCATGCAATGCTTATTAGCTGTCCAGGGAGCACAGCCTAAGGTTGTTTTACATGCAGGCCGGTTGAATCCCACCCCTGCACCACGGCTTTTGCAAGTTGTTCCAGCACACTCGGTCTTTGCTTTTTGAGATAACATTTCCGCCAAGCTTAATCCGGGCCAATTTTGACATTCTATTTTAAATATTGGGAGCAACAACTAGAATTTTTTTTAAAAAAGGTCTTACTTCAAAAATATTAGAACTTCTCCCATCCCAGTACTCCAATTTTTCCAGTAGTTTTTGCATCTAAATAATATTGCTGACTAAAAACACTGCAAACTTTCAGCTCACCTTGCAGATGTCTAGCCAATTCCCGAGAAAAAAGAATATTGGCCAGCTTGCTATGACAGTATGCCAAGCCCCGAAAGTAGAACTTTTCACCCTGGAGATTCTGGAAGTGAATCCTCCCCATATGATGACCCAGCGAAGACACATTTATAATACGAGCTGGTGCACTTTGTTTCAGGCGTTCTATTAGCAGGAACGTTAAGAGAAAATGGCCTAACAGGAAAGATTATGAACAATAATTTGAATTTTGTGGTTGCTTTGTTAGACCTGCTCACATTCGTTTTTATTAAACACGCGGGTTACAAGGATTTAACTTATACCTATCCCAACATATCACACTACTAAATATCTGCAAGTGTATTAGAAAAACACTGCTGCTTAAGGGGAAAAAAATGAAATTTAAAAGAAAATTACAACATTGCATAATTTTAAAAAAACCAGTGATTCGTAACACTGTTTCTCTCACTTCTTGTTAGTGTTCAACAATACATAAGCTATCATATGTTTGTAAAATTTGACAAAAATAAAGCAAAAATGTGTGGGGGGGGTCCATTTTCAAGACATGACTGATAATTTATAAACTAAGTAGTTGTCCTTAAGGACTTAATCCATTTTTTAAAAAAAAATATATTCATTCCCTTTCAGATATTCTGAATATTTGTATATCTTTCAACTCAGTAGTTCATGTAGGTTCTAAAATCATCATCCTGATAGATATGAAAATGTAATTGTCCTTAGATTCAGTAACTGGCTGTTGAACTCACATTTAAAGATTTTCGAGCATTAACTTGACATTTTGGATCCTACCATAACATTTCTGTACAATTTAGATCTTGACTTTGAGTTGGCCATTCCAAAGAAGTGAATGTGGTCTTCTTTCATACCCTTTCAAACCTGTGCCTATATTTGCAATTACTGCTTTGCAATTGCTGTGTGACCTGCCTACGCTTCAGCTGATGGACAAATGGTCTGATATTCTCATAGCTTTCTCCAATAGTGACAAGTCACCCAAATCTGGGATAGGAAAGCATCTCCACCCTCCCCCATGCTTGACAGTTGGTATGAAGTCTTTATTGTGGATTCAGCATTTGTTCTGGTATACCAGATATTCTACATGTCACGTGTTCCACTCTTGACATATAGAACAAATGTTCAGATATCTGGAAGGTTATTCAGGTGATTTTTGAGATAACCATTGATGTTCTTCCCAGTGACCCATGACTTTTACCTGTCTACTCTGTCAGGAATCCCATTTCTGCTCAGAGCCTTTCTGATGAAGGAATTATGAGCACTGACTTCAGCCAAAGCAAGTGATGCCTTCTAGCATTTTTTGTGACTTCTTGGATGACTATACTGTGCTCTTGAAATAACTTTGACATGACAATGTCCTCCATGCAAAGGGTTTTTATTGTTCTGAATATTCATGGTTTCCCCAAATCTTCTCCATTTCAAGAGTCCTGCTAGACTAATGGAACCCTCCACATTTAGAAATGAATTTGTAAGCTTTGCCAGACAGATAGACATCATGGTTTTTTTTATCAGAGGCCTTTTGAGCAGGATACATTATGCCTTTAAGAATCTCTATGGTGAGAACTTTCCTGCTATTTATTTAATTCAATTTATATGGTTGCTGATCTCACAATGGTGACTCTGAGTGGGAAATAATAGTTTAAAACACAACCAATAAGGAAAATAAAATGGATAATTGGAAGCCAAGGTAAACAAAATCCAATCAAATCATGATTAACATAACCATCTCATGGACTGATGAGGAAAGCCAAAGTTTGTGAGTTTTATATAAGGCAGGACTCAGCCCCAATCAACAGAGCCTTCCTACAACTGAACTGAGATTTAAGGTTCATCACTTTTTCAGACTAGCAAACTGCACATTGGATCATTCTGTTTATGAAATAAATGAATCGAATAAGAAAAGCCAGAAATACTTTTTTGCTCACTTTCTCCTTATATATCAATTAAGAAGCATGTGAAACTCCAACAACATTCAATATTAAAAAAAGCAAGAATTCAGAAAATCTGAAATAAGTGATTTTCTTTCATAGCACTGTTTAAAATATGTAGAACTGCTCTTGCTAATTTTGTGTTCTACATCTTGGTTGAGTTCATATATATAATACATAGATAATACCAGGAATATAGGATATACTGCAGGGGTGGGCAATTATGTCCTCTTTATTACCTGTGGACTTTGTTAGGGATAACATTGTTTTACCCTAACTGTTTTGGGTAAAGATAATAAAATGATGAATCATGGTTTGTCAGATAAAGTGTATGTGACTTTAAGCTAAAGGAATGTAATTAAGGGTGCAGCTGTAAAAGTACTATATAAGCAGCAAGGTACTCTCTGGCTCTTACTGGCTGGCTTATTGAAGACTGCATTCTTGCTGGATCGGGGAGGAGAAGAAGTGTTGGATTACTTTGAAGATATTTCTCAACGGAGAGAAGATAAGTTTTGGACAGATTTATTATATGTGTACTGACACTGGCTATTCCACACGGACTTTGCAATTAGAGTATCCTCGACAAGACTTGACTGAAATTGATATATGACTAATGGACTGTTTATTTTGACTATGCTATAATTCTTAAATGGAATAAACTATATTTTTGATAGCACAAGCGTATCTGTATTTTTACTGTGTGTTAACTAGAAAACTTATCTCACACATTTACCTGTCTTCCTATCTGACTTCGCTGCACATTCTGTTTAGTTTGTTTTCCTTAACACCCGTTGGGGAATCCAGGCTTAACAGACTTCAACTCCCAGAATTCCTGAGTCAGCATGGCTGGCTTAGAAATTCTGGGAATTGAAGTCCACAGGCTGTAAAGGGGCCATAGTTGCCCACTCCTGATATACTGGGACATTTAAAAAAAATCAGGAAAAGGCAATGGCAAATCATTTGCATATTGCTGCCAAAAAATATATTTTTATTTATTTATTTTGTCAAGCGATTATAAGGTAACAGGTGTAAGTATAAACATAGTTATGAATACATGAAATGGATACATATAAGAAAAATAAAAAGAAACAATGGGACAGGGACAGTAGGCACATTGGTGCACTTATGCCCATGAAGTCCCATGAAGTCACCAGGTATCAAGAGCAACTTGGCTTTCCAAATTGGATGAGAATGTATTACTGATCTTTGGATTTTTAGAAAGTAAAGCTATCTGGTGCAACTGTGTTCTCAAAGTTGTTTCCATCCCCCCCCCCCCCTCAAAAAAAAAATTACAAGCACAATAACTTTCTGATTATTGATATCAACTAAGGACTATGCACGTTCAAATAGCTCCTTAACTTGATGAAGAATCTGAAGCATTAAAAAAAAATTCACAGTGTGATCAAGAAAAACAGTAATCCCTGTGAGAATAATTATGATAATGTTGTTTTATCTCACCCTTCCCATGTTACCATTAATTAAAACAAATGAGCAGCAATAAATCTTATCTCAATCAGGGCTCACAGAACCTTAAGGAAAATTTGTTACCTCAATGTAATGCACCTCTATATAACAAGTACAATCTTCTGAAAGACCTCTGTCTGCAGAATTCAACCACTTCATAAAGATAAAACAAATATTGCCATGTAAGCTCAGTCTTTTACATATGTGGGTGCAATGTTGCAATTTATATATAAAAGAGGAAGACCTAGTATTGCAACATCGCAACACTTTTCTTTTTTATCCTCCCTGCATGCCTCCATATGCAAAAGCACATAAATCTTTCCAATCTTTACATGGGCCCGAACTCTAACTTCTCATAGCACTTTAAGACAAAATTGGGGGGGAAAGGCTTAAATAGAACTTTCTAACAGAAAAACTGATCAAGGAGATCAAGTCAAGCAAGCTTACCAAGATGGTTGACTCCAAAATGCATCTCAAAACCATCAGCTGTCTTTGAATAGGGGCACATCATAACCCCTGCGTTGTTGATGAGTATGTGGAGTTCTTTCTCCTCTGCAAGAAAAACAAAAGCCATGAAGATCATATGAATAAAGAAGCCCAAAATAAAAATACTGGAACTGGAGTCATGGAAAGATAGTCGCACTTCAATTTCTTTCAGATTTTCCCATGAACAATTTGACAAGGTAAAATTTGGGCCTATCGGACTCTGTAAAATCACTCCAGAAAGCAGGAGAGGAAGCAGCAAGCAGCTCCTCTTCTGTTTCATTCAGTACAGTACTTCCTTTAGGGTTACTTTAGCAATCCTACTAGTTGAAGTATTGTTATGCCGGCAGAGGTCTAATTTTAGAATCTGTAAACATTTTAATGTTTTTTTAAAAACTGTTTATGTATTTAGAGTTGCTTTTATTGATTTGTAAGCCACCCAGAGTTGCTCTGGATAGCGAGATGGGCAGTGTATATATATGCTGCCCATATATACATATAATAAATAATAAATAAAAAGCATGTCTGAATTTCATCATGCCTACTGGATTTTTAAGACAAATAATCAGGTATCGTTTTGCCCAACCTCTGAGAAAACAATGTTCCTAAGACATACCTTTCAAGAAATTACTGGCAAATTCTCTGATAGATTTGGTGTCTGCCAAGTCTAATCTTTTTGCTATAACCTCTTGATTTCCTGTCTTGATCCGGATTTCGTGGGCTGCCATTTCTGCTTTTGCCATATCTCTGCAAGCAAGGATGACTTTGGCACCTGCAACCATTAAAATACTAAAAGTAACACAAGAAATTACATGCATGGAGGGTTACTAGTCAAATTACCATTTTGGCCAATTTTCCAGAAACAAATTTATTGCAAAAAATAAAGATAACAATACATATAACCCTTCAAGAATATGGCTTTATGAAAAAAAAAGAGAGACTGATGGTGAAATAATTATTTGAAAAAACCTTGGGACTTTGGCTGAAACCAAAATATAATTCAAAACTGTTGTTATAACTTGTGGAAAGACAAAAATATTGGTTAAATGGAAAAAATTACCAAAAATCTTGGTTAGGAGCTGCCAAAAAAGCCAATGCGGTTCTGGGCTGTATCAACAGAGGGATAACATCACGGTGATGAGAATAAAGTAGAGTAGAATTAATAGAACAGAACAGAATATTCTTTATTGGCCAAGTGTGATTGGACATACAAAGAATTTGTCTCCAATGCTGCTTTATATTGCACCTGAGGGCTATACCTGGAATACTGTGGGAAAGTCTAGTCACCATAATACAAAAAAAAATGTTGAGATCCTAGAAAGTGTGCAGAGAAGAGCAACAAAAATGATAAAGGATCTGGAGGTAAGTTATATAATGAACAACTGAGGAAGTAAGATATATCTAGCCTACTAAAGAGAAGGATTAGGGGGCCATGGTAACTTCCTGTAGTTGAAGGGCTATCACAGAGAAGATGAGATTGATTTATTCTCCAAAGCACTACAGAGCAGGACAAATAGTAATGGGTGGAAGCTTGTTAAAGAAAGATCTAACCTAGAAATAAGGAGAAATGTTCTGACTGTGAGAACAATTAATCAATGGAATAGCTTAATTTCCGGAATTGTAGGTGTTCCATCACTGAAGATTTCCAAAAATAGACTGGACAACCATTTGACCAAAATGGTATAAGGTCTCCTGTCTGGAGCAGGACTAGAAGACCTTCCAGCCCTATAAATCTATGTTGTAATTCCAAACAATTAATCATTCAAGATGAATTTCCTATTCCAAATTATAATATCAGAGAAATGCTTGCCAGACTGGCAAACAACAATCAATAGACTTACATGAAGTAGGAAAAATAAGAGCAAGATTCAAGATTTTGCAAGACTCAAAACAAAGAGGTCTGCATTTCCTAACCTTAAATTATATAATTGAGGAAGCTACCTAAGAAAATCCCTGAAGCAAATTACTAATTATAAAAGAATCTGGCTGCAATGGGGAAGCTGGCAGGGAAGATCACAACTCATTCACTTCCGCCTGCTGCATCCTACTCATCTGCGTGTAGCCTCCCTTAAAACACATGCAACCTGCACTAGGCTTCCCAAAACCTCTCTGACCTTCCCCAACTGTTGTGTAACCCGTGCTCAGTCTCCCAAGCTTTTCCTAAACTCACACACATCCTATACTCAGCTGAAGAAGCTTCCTGATGAGACCCAAAAAGTCTTCAAAGAAAAACTAGAACATCCAGTTGCCTCTTGAAAAAAGCACCTTTGGGACAATCATGACCTGGGTGACTGAGAATAGACATCCTGTACTTAGTCTTCCAAAATCTCATCAGGTCTCCCTCCTGCCAGGCCTTCCCGGGTCTCTCCCTTCCCCCCAACTTCCTTACCATTTCTTACTTAATAACCCACGTATCTTGAGATTATGACTGCAACTGGAATACTGGGATTGTTGGTGCTAAGCGATGTGGTTGTAACATTGCTTAGCAATGGCAGTCCCAATTCCAATTACCATTGCCAACTCAAGGACTGGCTGTAATCTCAAGAAAAAAGAAGGGAACCTGAGAAAGAAGACAGAATTTGGACAAATTAGGATGCTTATATAACAGAGATGGAACAAATTAAAAATTGAATTCTAAAGTTGATGCAAACTTTCCAGATGCAAATAGAATATTGGGAAAGATATTGGGAAAAACCCAATACATTTACGATTACCAAGATACATAAGTCATATAACAGTAGAAATGCCACAACAAAAGAAACATCTTATGGCACCTGATGGTTATCAAAAATAAAATCACAAAATTATTGGAACAAACATATTAAAACATTCACAAAGTTTTAAACATAAACTCTGAATTTAAACCATAAGATACTAATGAAAAACAAAAGATGAAATGACTTAAATGGTTTATAGAAATAAGTTTAACAGGCAAAGTATGGTTGTGTAACGGTTCAGTTGGAAAAATAAATAGAAGATATGGGAGGGACATGTTACCCAGAGATTTTTAAATAATATTTTATGTTTTATTAGTAATTGTCTTCTACTTTGCTTTTTGTATCTTTATTCTTATTAAATTTGTTTAAATAACCTGTCAAGGCTTATGGAAAAATTTTTAATTAATTTTTTTATTTTATATTTTACAATAATTCCATTTCATTTCAACCGTGTATCGACTGGGTACATATATCTTGTGCTTATAATTATAATTAATACTTTTCTTACCAATATAACAATAATCACACTTTTTATTTATGGCTGGCGAGAAATGGTCTGTGCTCTGGCCATTGAAACAGAGTGAGGCTCCATGAGACAGAGTGAGCTCCCGTCATTCGCTCCCTGGCTCCTGCCCACATCCAGCAGTTTGAAAGTATGCAATATTGTGAATACACAAATGGGTACCATTTTGTTGGAAAAACCTAGCTGCCTTTGTGTGTGCAGAGTGCGGAAGCTGGCGCTGGACGTGGGCAGATGCAAGGCAATGCAACACGAAGCAAGGTGAGGCAAGACCAGCATAGGAACTTGGAAGAGCGCTGCTAATCATCTGGTGTAAGCTAGTTCATCCCTTGCAGTGCATCAAGAATAGGCACACAAGCGTCCAACAGAATGAACTAGCAATCTAGGCTGTCAGGATTGCATTGTGTCTAGCATGCGTAGCTTTCCCTGACATTGTATGCCATATGCTTCATACATATACATATATAAATATTACAAGCAGCCTCCTGGTATCAGATGTGGAAATGCTGAGATCTCCAACCAAAGATTTCTTCTTGTGTACAGATAATACAATTCCAGATAAGTACAATCCACACCCCCATAATAAGTTCACTATTTGAATATAGAGGTTTTGATGCATTCGTTGGGAAGCACGGTGTAGTTATAACACAAAAAAATAAAGGCTAAGAAGAAAAGCAAAAATACACTCTACTTCTATTTACTCCATCTTCATGATTGGAGGTCAGCACTTATCTAGCTAGCTCAAGTTACAGTACCAATTCTAAATGGTAAACTGGTCCTCGGTTATTCAACAATCACTGAAACTTACAGTGGTGCTGAAGGAGCTCCAGCCATCGCAACATCCCATGGTTGTATGGTCACCATTTGTGACCTTCTTTAGTGGCATCCTACAAGCAAAATCAATGGGGAAACCAGCAGGAGGTCGCAAATGGCAACCACAATCCATCCTTGTTTAATGACAGTGTGGAATTCAGCGCCACTGGAACTACCCAAACTGCTGCCACTAAGCAATGCAGTTCCATGACATCATGTTTTACAACTTCGTCGCTGAGAGAGAGAAATTCCAAGTCTCAATAGCTGTTCTTAAGCAAGAACTAACTACCTGCACTGAATTGCTGCAGTTCACTTGATGTCAAAATCAGCAGCAGGACAGTAATGGAAAGAAGTCTATTTCAAAAAAGGAGATACTATAGTGGAGACCTTTCTTGTGTTAATGTGATATGTTTACCCAAATCAGCTACAAATCTTAGCTGCAGTTTGTGTCTCAGTATATTGTCAAGCTCAGCTTCAGTTTATGATAGAAAGTACTGAGTGAACAAAAAAGTGGCTTAATTCTATCATGAGTTAAAGTGAGTCTATCATGAGCATTTCCTTGTATGCTAACAAGAAGTATAGTGACACAGACTGGAATGGGACAGTCTGCAGATTTTGAGAAATTCCACTGTACATGTCAACAAAACCTTGATAAGCTGCTGCAGCCTTATTTAATCAGTGTAATCACCATAGAGTGCTAGAGACAGGAAGAATCAGTCTTGACTGTAAGCATGAAGGTTGACTTGTGTTGGATAAGAATTTGCAGCTTATGCAGGATTACTGCCACTTTATATTACAATGTATTTAAAAAGAGATAATTTTTTCTCTAAATCTGAATCGCCTAGAACCGTATTTCATTCTACTGATGATGAACTTTGATTCTGCTGTGAAAGGCAAAGTTCAATTCCTGCCAATCTTCAATTCCTTTTATTACAATTTCTACCTTTCTGGAAGCTACCAGGGATAAGAGCCAATATGAATAACTTGCCTCTTCTTGCAAGGTCTCCAGCCGTTTCCTTCCCTATACCAGTGTTGGCTCCCGTGACGACTACAACTTTCCCATTCAGTTGTGCTGCAGACTTGCACACTCCTCCTCCAAAATACTTCCTATAAAATATAAAAAAATCAATTGAATGGCTGAGGTTTTAAATTTCAGTCCCTTGTTGAAGTATTCACAATGCAATGCAGTGCAATTTGTCATAGTTAGCTTCTCATGCATTTAAAACACATAAACACACACACACTGGGGGGGGGGGGGGGGGCCCTGCCCAAACAACAGGGAAAAAAACAAATTCACCAGAAATCGAGTGAGCGCTAATATAGGACATCGGTATTATATAGTTAAGCGATTTAAATATTTTTTTAAAATGCCAGTAGTTTTTTTTTTCTTTTTGAAGTTGCACGGGCGACAGTTTTCCAGGCCACAAGAGTTAGTCAAATCAATCCCGCTACAAACCTGACATACGGCACTAGCACAAATACTGAAAGAGGGACCAAGAGCAAGGGCAGCAACACGGACCCAAGGAATCCCAGCATCGTCGCCCCTTGTCTGGTCGCTTCGCTTCTTCTTCTCGCTCGGTCAAAAAGAAGGCGCGGCCTCCCAGAGCCCAGGCTGATAAAGGCGCGACTTCTGAGGTCCCTCGGAGGGAGGCGCTGCGGGCTCTAAAAGAGGCGACGAACCAGCCTGAATTTCCGGTGAAATGGCATCAGCCGCTGCAAGGTTGCGGGGCTGGATGGGATGCTCCTCCCCGCCCCCTTTTCAATACAGAACGTGGAGGAATCTCATTATCTGAATGTGATAATGTGCCACCCAGGTTTCGGTTTGGGCAGGAACGGGCTTCCCTTACCTCTCGGCGTTGCGTGAGAAGGTTTAAGTTTGGAGCTGTAAGAGCCCGTGAGTTCCGCGAGCCGATCAGAAGTGTGGAAGGTGTGATGCAAAAGACCGGAGCTTTCGGGTTTCGAGGATATGTAGCCTTTTCCTTTCTATTGGGGGGCGAAGGGCGGGGGGGGGGAGTAAGTGCTATTCGCTTCATGCAATGTGTAATTCAGCATCTTTATGTGTCATCCAAGTCATAACAAGGATGGTATGCACAGTACTTTCTAGGCCAGCTGTGTGCTTTGTTTTCCCTCACGCTACACGCTACTTTCAGTTGATGGGATACGAGAACTAGTTTGCAAGAAAATCCGGAGTAAATCCATGGGAGGAGGGGACAAGTAATGTCAAAAAAAAAAAAAAGTCAAGATGGCTGCTGTGAATAAGTAACCAAAGCCCCACCTCTTTTTAATATGAATTCCTGGTGTAATACCGATAATGCTGCTACCCTTCAAAAAGACCTCGACTACCCTTCAAAAAGACCTCGACTACGTATCAGAATGGTCAAACAAATGGCAACTTCAAATCTCAACAAATAAATGCTCTGTCTTACAAATTGGCAAAAAAAAAAAAAAAACAGAAAATAAAATACAAGCTGAATAGTCAAGACCTTGTTGATGATCCAAATTCTGTCAAGGATCTTGGAGTACTCATCTCAAATGACCTAAGTGCTAGAGCCCACTGTAACTACATAGCCAAAAAGGCATTAAGAGTTGTTAACCTATTCCTGCGTAGCTTTTTCTGCTGTAATACGACACTACTAACTAGAGCATACAAAACATTTGCTAGACCACTACTTGAATACAGCTCATCAGTCTGGAACCCACATTACGTATCTGATATTAATACAGTTGAGAAAGTCCAGAAATATCTCACAAGAAGAGTTCTCCACTCCTACTCGTTGCAGAGTACCTTATGTCCCCAGACTTGAAATTCTAGACCTAGACAACCTAGAACTACGCCACCTTCGGTCCGAAGTTTTGTATATAAAATTATACACTGCAATGTCCTACCTGTCAATGAATATTTCAGTTTCAACTACAACAATACAAGAGTACACAATAGATACAAACTCAAGGTAAACCACACCAAACTTGATTGCAGGAAAATACGACTTCAGCAACAGAGTAGTCAATGCCTGGAATACTCTACCTGACTCTGTGGTTTCTTCCCCAAACCCCAAAAACTTTAACCTTAGATTGCCTACTATTGACCTCACCCCTTTCCTAACAGGTCTGTAGGGGGCGTGCATAAGCGCACCAATGTGCCTACTGTCCCTGTCTTATTGTTTCTTTTTATTTTTCTTATTTGTATCCATTTCATGTATTCATAACTATGTTTATATTTATACCTGTTACTTTATAATCGCTTGACAAAATAAATAAAAATAAATAAAATAAAGTAATGCATTTTTAAAAAGGCATCTTCCCACTCCTCCCACCCCCACCCCAGTGTGCTTTTAAAGTAGTCTCTAGATTAGGGATCTTAAGTTGCACAGGATACCATGAGCACAATTTTGCTAAAACGGGACTTTGGTTGTGCATATCATACAGGTCAAAACTGACCACTATTGCCCTTAATATTTCAGGGAATGCAACACGGTATGTGTATGACCAAGGCTGGCAACCTAGTCTTCATTGTATTTAACTTACTAAAAGAGTTGTGCAAAAGTGTCAACTGGCCTACATCGTGATGGGTGGCAGAAGTCAACGTCTATGGATCTCATCTGCTGACCAGGAAATGGAAAGTATGAAGAAGGATGATAAAGTGAAAGAGAATCTAGCATGAAAAATTCATATCAGAGTATGATTGCTTTCTAAAATGAGGATGAGAAAATATAAAATAAAATATAAAATGAGAAAAAAAAGTGATTACAGGGAATATAATCAACAAAGACAAGGAACAAATAAGATTAAAAGAAACAAAAGAAAATGCATAACAACTATAGTGAAAATAAATTATGGGAAGTACCTTGTATGCTTACATACAAGATCTTTCTCCTTTTCTGGATATATCATACAGGTAGTCCTTGATGTATGACCATTCATTTAATGACCATTTAAAGTTATGATGACACTGATGAAGGTGACTTATGCCTGGTCCTCACAACTGCTTCAGTGTTCCTACAGTCGTATGATCAAAATTCAGGCACTTGGCAAGTGGCCTGTATTAATGACAATTCCAGTGTCCCAGGGTCAGGGGATCACTATTTAAGACCTTCCCAGAAAGCTTCCAACAACAGGTCAGTAGAAGAAGTCAAATTCACCTAACAATGGCAAAATGATGGTAAAATCTGGCATGACTCACTTAATGACTGAAGTTCTGGTTCCAATTGTAGAAGCCTGGCATTCAGCAAATTGGATTGAGGTTGAAAACATGTCTCTTCACTTTGCTTGGCAAAATGTATCTAGGACAAAATGTGTCCAAGATAGATGGGCAGTTAAGAAATATGAAGTATAAATTTAAAAAAAAATTAAATCTTGTTTATAGATTATTTTTTTCTAGAGATTTGCCATGCAGGGGCAACTCTGTAGGCTGTCCTGAGTTCCAGGCTTGGTTGAGCCTTGCTGGATGACCATGCACTGAAAAGAGCTTTTGGCAATTGCTAAGAGATCTTTGTTATGTAAAGTATTCTGGCCCAGGCCTTAATGGCCCACACATTAACAAAGATGGGGATGAGATTAACAAAGGTGGGGGTGAGCTTCTGCTTCTGAGGTGAGTTTCTACTTCTGAGTTTCTACTCTTTTTAGAGGAAATATTGTGCCTTTTTAATATTTCCTAGGATATTTCAATTTTTCTAGGAGAGGTGTGGGTGCCAACTTCCTACACCTCCCATATCTATTCATTTCTTTTTTAATTATAGTTCCTTCCATTCTTCATTATATGAGTTTTTGCCTCATAAAATGGTTTTTGCCATTTTAATGTAAATTCCTGCAGATTTCATGTTGGAATATTAATTCAACTCTAAGTTAAACGATAGGTAAGTATATTAATAAGATGTTTCACTTGAGTCTGTAATTCTGTAGTTTGGAAAGACACCTGAATTGTCTAAAATAAATCAAATGCTTCCAAATTGAACCTGAGGCCCAAATCTGAAAACAGATTCAAAGCTTCATACCACCCATTGACTAGCATGGAAATCCATAAATATCAGTACACTTTTAATTTTTGAACAGAATGGGAGAAATTTCCAGACAAGTAGGAATAACAAATACTGCAAGTCACCCAGCTGCCTTTGATGACTAAAGCAGGACTCAAACTCACTGTCTCAGGACTTCTAGCCTGTAGCTTATCCTTAGATTAAATTGACTCATTTTAAATACAAAAATGTTCAGTTTAATAATTGTCTTCAACCATTACACTTCTGGGCTTCTCAAATTGATGCTCAGTTCTGGTCTCTACTCTAGTCCTCCAAAACAACCCATTCCACTACCAATCATATTTTAGTTGGAATATAAATGTATTGTCTACTTAAAAATTATCCACACAGTATTTAATGGAGCCTACTGGTACAGGTAGTCCTCGACTTAATAACATTTCATTTAGTGACTGTTCAAAATTACAACGGCCCTAAAAAAGTGACTTATGACCGTTTTTTACATGACCATTACAGCATCACCATGTTCACATGATTGAAATTCAGATGCTTGGCCAATGGTTCATATATATCAGGGGTCCCCAAACTTGACAACTTTAAGACTTGTGGACGTCAACTCCCAGCTATGCTGGCTGGAGAATTCTGGGAGTTGAAGTCCACAAGTCTTAAAGTTGCCAAGTTTGGGGAC